GCCAGAAGATGCCGGGGACCCAAGGGTGGAGGGCGGCTGGGCCCGTAATGGCAGCACAAGGGGGTGTGCCGCCCCTCAGCACGGCCCTGCGGCCCCTCCCGCTCGCTGCCCCGGGGCTCACCGCTGAAGAAGAGGATCCGATGGTCCGTGTGCCTCTCGTAAGCAGCGTCCACTTGGCCCAGGCTACGGGGCAGGCCCCGCCAGAAAGCCGCACTCAGGGCAGGGCGCAGGGAGGTGAGATGCCGGCCGTGGGACAGACGCCAGAAGTACTGCCCTAGCTCGGGGGCAGACGGGAGGTTAGCAGCTGCCTCCTGCTAGCGGCAGTGCCCGGCGCCACCAGGCCCGGGGGAGCGCGGGCCATTCGGGGACAGCCCCTGGCAGGGCAGTGCTGAGGGGCCCAGGCCGGGCACAGCCAGCACCCAGAGGGGAAACTGTTTATACAGGAGGCAGCTGCCGGGCTGGCTCTAAGCTGAGCCCCTGGGCCAAGGACAGACTCAGCCCCGGCGCCCGGCCCAGAGCCCTTGGGGAAAAGCCTCCTCAGCCAGGGCCACAAGGAGAGGCTGCCCCATGGGAGCTGGGCAGAGACTGTGCAGGGCTATTGGCACAGCACAGCAGCCGGGCTGAGGCTCCAGGGGGCCCAAGAGAACAGGGAGGAGGTGGGGGTCTGGCAAACTTCATGGGGCACAAGCTGCCACTCGCTGGCCCTAGGCTCCAAGTGGGGCCCCCACTCTTAGCCCTGATTCCCTTGGGGCCACCCCAGGCAATGCTCCCTTTAATGTTTTCCACCCGTGGGCAGAATAAATTTTGTTACATGCGCCAAGGCATGTGCACCACCAGCAGAAACACACACTGCCAGCGGTGGGCGCTCTGCTCGTCAGCTGGGCAGCACCTGAATCTGTTCTAGGTGGCTGCCCACGTGCTCAGTTTATAGGCACCACCGAGCTACCAGCACAGGTCGGGGAGAGGGGTGAAGGAAGAGGGGGGGCACAAGGGAGCCCCCATCCTGTCTCTCCCCACATCACCCGCCCACATCCCACTGCAGTCAGTGCCACCCCTTCCTCGCCTTGGAGCATGCCCCCCCCCCCCGGTTTTCC